AGTTTGGTAACATGTTCAGAAAGTTTTTAATTAGCCACATGGTAGTAATTTATCTGTGAATAATATTTTACTTTGCTGTGAGTAGTTCTGTGTGTTGGGCACATAGCTGATTAAAGGTTAATAATGCGAAGCAAAAGGTTAATAATTCAAAATACCTTAATCTGTTTAGTATGTTGGAAAACCAGGACTCAGGGTTTTTTACTGGAATCACTATAAAATTTATCCAAAACATACTGGTAACTATGAACACAATGATCATTAATTATTTTTTCTAGAAATGTCTGTGATTTCTTTGTGCAGAAGAAACCTTTGACTTGTATTAATATGAACTAGCATTTGCAAACCAGCTTTAAATGCTTGAAGAAGGCTTCCAGTTTAAACACAAATACTCTCTTGCAGCTCCTAGTCCTATGTATTTGAGCAATAGCCAAATTGTAGGGTGATTTTTAGGGAGAGCTTTACCTATTGGGCTGATGATCCACTTGCTGGTGAATGCCACTTAGTAAGAAGCAATGCTCAGATTCTCAGAGTTCCCAACAGCCTTTTTCCACTGCCTGTGGTCTGAGTATGTGACAGCATGGGCATATGAGTAATTTGTTGTGCTGGAAACTTGCAATAGAGGCTGGCTTACTAGGGAAAAAACCACTACAGATACTTTCTTATGCTTATGGTTTGGTTTAAATTTCTATTTTCAAGAATTGGTAATTCTCAAATCTATGAAAAATGGTTAGTTCAGCTTTTTTACAAATAGTTGAAACCTGCATCTTTTTGTTGGTCAGCTGTAGCCCAATAGATTATTTCTTTTTCCAGGTTGGAATTAACAAATACGGTACAAATAGGGTTTAAAAGTTTTGCCTCTTTCGATTTACTTTCTAAAATTGGTCTCTTTCTATGTTACATCTAAGTCTGCCTCGTTTTGGTTTTGTTATATAATCTCTTTAAATACCAAAGAAGATAAAAACTAAGTTATGTAGGCATTCCACAATACTTTTTTTTATAGTAGGAATAAGTTAACTGGTGCAGCAAAACTTGGAAAAAAATTTGCTTCCAAATCCCAGCTTTCAGCTCCTACCCAAAAATAAATCAACAAACCCCCTGAAGATGTAGTTAAAGACCATAGTAACAAAACTCTTGGAAACACTCCCACATAATACTATGAATATTTGGAAAATAATATAATAATACCATGAAAATATGAAGAAATAATACAATAATACTGTGGATATTTGGAAAATATCTTCCCCTTCTTTCTTCATACTTCTTGCTCCACACTTCCTTTCTGTCTTTGTGACAAAGTTTATTGAAGTACCAGAGAAGAACTGCTGTTACTGTATGTTTTCAGGTAGCCCAGTCTTGTAGGAAAGGAACATTGAAGGAAGATGTGAAACTTATCCTCAAGGTATAAGTTTCAGTACTTAGTACTGTTACTTAGTGCTTAATACTTCTAGTGTTTAATACTCTTGCTGTAGAGCTTTTCAAATACTGCTACACAAATACAAAGCAAAATACGTAGTAAGGAAATATATGATTTGTGCATAAATTGTAAGGAGAAGAGAGAAAGAGGTAACATGCTGTGTTTTATAAATGCACTATACATGATAAGGAAACAGAAAAATACCATGTTAATAGCATAAGTAATCCTTTCTATTGTACGACAATACCAGTTTAGATTTTGTATTTATTTAGATCTATTATACAGGAATAAATTTAGAAGTTTGTTTTAAATAACTTACTAACATTATAGTTTTTTTGAATCTTATGATCAATTGACACACTTGAAAGTCTAAAAAAAGCAGTGTTTTCCTCCAAGATGACAAAAAAATTTGTAATAATATTTTTATTGAAACTCACTTTTACACCAAACTTGTAGTAAATCAGAATTTGAAAATTTCAGTAAATTATAAAAGTTGTTAGTGGTGGTGGGTTTTTTTGTTGGCTTTCCCCCCCCCCCAAATCCCAGCTTAAATTTAAGGGTAATAAATTCGTGCCAAGAAATAAAATCTTGATACATACCTACATTACTGATGGCTGACAGAATTCTGTGGGTGAAAGGGAGGATGTTAAAGTAACCTGGATTGTCACCAATTAGATCTCTTCTTGATGACCTGAGAAGATTGAGAAAGTAGCTGGTAATGTTATATTCTTTGGAGAAAACAAAGATTAGTACAAAAATCATCAGTGTAAACCACACCTTTTTGTGTTGGTTCTATAAGGGCAGACATGTCCGCTGTGAAAGTGATTTTATGTTTCCTTGAAATGAAAGCAAAGTTGAGGAAAAAACCAACCAGACAACTCTAGAACGAAAAAAACCACCAAAAAACCCCAAACCTCAAACCTAAATCTGTGGGTTAGCCTATATAGGACAAATAATTATTTTTCTTTACTTGCTTTGCTCTCTTGTCATGAAAGTGGCTATTGAAATGCTAGAGGATTGTTTGCCATCTGCACTGCTGGAAGAGCTGTGAGGAATGTTGCCTTTTAATGCCCCTGCCAGGTCCCTCTGCAGCTGTGGTGCAGTAACCAGCACCTTGCCTTAGTTATCTCTAGGAAAATAATATAATACTACTATGAAAATATGGAGAAAATAATACAATATTGCCTGTGAGCTGCCCTTGTGAAGGGATAGGAGTTTGCTTGCAATCTTTGGCCATCCAGTGGAGTCTGTTTTGCCTAGGACAGTACTTGGTACCTGATCTCCCCATCTGTATGTAGACCCCTTCTTCATGTTTGCTGCCCCTGTCCCGTTGAGGGGGAGGGGAAGCCTGGCTTTTGGCCCCCACTGACACACAAGGCCAGGCTACCAGAGGCAAGCTTAGTAGTGCTCTTGAGGACATGGCAATATGCATTACCAATCCATCTTTGTATGGATTTGTATAGCTGTATGGAAGAAGGCTGCTTTAACTGAGTGAACGATGTAGAGGGGAAGGAATGTGACAGTGGGATGTCTGGATAGGAGCCTACTTACAAATGAAGTGTTTGGTTGAATGGAGGGTTGTGCTTCAAAAACAAACAAAAAAAGAAAATAAAGAAAAGGGGGAAAAAAAGAGGGAGACATACTTTGCAACCCTGGAAGAACTGAAGGAATTTGAAAGAGTTGTGTATGGGGAGGAGGATGAGAAAGGAGTAATCCGTGGGCTTTGAGGGAGAGCCTTTTGTGGCATACTTTATGTTAGTGACCTAGAAGAAAACGTTTTTGTTTGCTACATAGGTTACATAGAGAAAGCATAAACCAATTATCTGCTTACATTTTCTTAATTTCAAATACTACCTTTTAATCAGTCTTCAGATCTTGTACAATGAAAGCTTCTGATTTGCAAAGGAAAGGTGAGATACATCTGATGAATAAGTTGTGTTTGGGTGGGAATGAATCGGTTATTTGGAGCAAGTTGTAGAGGTTCAGATTTAGGGATTTTTTTCCCCTATTTTTAACAGACAGTTGGATATTTTACTGGCAGCCTTTTTTGTATATATTTTTAGTTAATGGAACAGTGATTGCTGTGGTTAAACAGTATATTTTAGTTTTCTAATCTAAAGTAGATGCTAAAATCAGATATTTGGGTCTGATAGGCAGGAAAAATAATAAACATATCCAGTCTAGCAGAGACAATCACAAACTATCTCGATGTTCTCTGGAAGAAAATAAGACTGTTGAATGGAGAAGGTAATATGCAGGGGCAAGAGGGCACCTAAGCAAACATTTTGTGCAGTGTTTTGCCCTATCTGAACCACTGCTTTTGCAAATGAAGTAGAACTAACATGTGAGAGCAGTCTTTGTGAGGGAAAATCTTTAGAGTTTGCAAAACAGTAATCATCTAATCATGGAGATGCTAGACATTGTAAGAGATGAAAAAAATAGATCCAAGCAGTAAACAGTCTTGTAGCTGATGCCTTCATCAGAACCCACCTGGTGCTATCTTTGCCTTTTCAGTACTGTTTTGAAAGTTCTATAGTAATACTCCTGTAGTTAGAACATTCACCTTGTCCGGCACCCAAATGTTTTATTTGTCCTCTTCAATGTCTTTATTGGTGACCTGGAGTAGGGGATCAAGTGCATCTTCAATAATTCTGCAGATGACACTTAAGGTGGGCAGGGGTGTTGATCAACTGGAGAGTAGGTAGCTCACTTTGCAGAGGGAGCTGGGTCGATGGGCTGAGGCCAATGGTACGAGTATCAAAAAGGTGAAGTGCCAGGTCCTACAAATGAGTCACAACAACCCCATGCAAAAAAAAAGCTGTAGGGCAATATCAGCTTTAAAAAGGGGAGAAGGAAAAAAAAAAAAGCACAGCAAGCTTCTTTTAATGTTCTGCTTATTGCATTCATGGCACTACCAGGAACCAAAAGCTAATCTAAGAAAAACTTACAATGAGTGGTAGTTTTTGTTTGCTTTGATTTTCCCTCCTTGTACTTCGAATTAGTCTGCCTTTACTATATTGTCAGGTAAATTAAAAGCATTCACATTATTCTTTCATTATCTTATGGGACTTTTCATTAGTTCCCCAATCTCTTGTGCCAAGCTGTCTTTCTACTTGGTGATTCTGCCCTCATTATGTTATTTGTTTTGTTTATACAAGCCAAAGGAGAGAAGGAAAAATTAGCTGAAATGTGTTTTCAAAAATACACGCTGTTTTTAAAACCTACTTGAAACCTTTCAGGACTTATTCGGGTTGGATCTTTTATATAATAGTGGGATTGGAAGACTGAAGATTCCTCTTTAGTAATGGACAATTATTAACCTATGACTTTCTAAAAATATGTGAATTCCAACGCTTGGGTTTTGTATGTGGTTTCCACTGATTATTTTTTCACCTTCTATATAGATATGAAAGAAGTTAGGAAGGCAAAACGCTTTTCAGACTATTTCATTGATTTTAAAATGGAATACTACTATTTTCTGGTCATAGATACAGGAGCTCATTTTTCCAGATGTACTTTAAAATATAGCTGTGCATGTAAAAGTTTTCTCGGTTAGAAACACTGAGTATTTTAATTTTTTAAACAGGTGTCTCAATGCATGTACCTACTGTAAAACTAAGCATGCCAGAGGAGATCTAGCAAGTTATCCGATTGAAGAACTAGTGGACAGAGCCAAACAGTCTTTTCAAGGTAAGGAGTTTTATCCCTACAAAAAAAGTCAGACACTGAAACATCTTATTTTCACAGGTAATGATTGTGATACGTTATGACTGTTACTGTACTGATGTTCTTAATAGTCGTAGCTGTGTCTGGCAGTGCCTTTGTGGTAGAAAGCCATGCTTTCATTGTGTTGTGCACCTCTGTTTACAAAATTTAGTCCTACCATAAGGAATACTTCATTTTCATTTTAGGATTGCTCAAATGAAGTTCTATGCAAGGAACTTTTTTTTTTTTTTTTTGTAATAGAAGAACTGTAAAATTTGGTCATTTTACTCTATCTCTGGTTTCTTAAAGAGTAAGACAGTAACCTATTTTCACTCAACTATAAAGTAAATTTCATGAGCCTCCCTAGGATTCTTAAAACCCTGTTTAGCGATACATTGCTTTTTCTGGTAATGGATTTCCAAGAGAAGTTCTGGGATGTTTCTGAGAGTTATACAAAGCCTAACAGCTTTTAAGTTTACTAGAATATTTATAATGTCACGTGGATTCAATCAAACATCAAAAGTTTTTCCTGCAGTACACTCTCTGTGCCAGTATCTGCCTAAAACTCATGTAAGTCTGGTAGTTATGATAGCTTTATTGTTTCTTAATATTTGTTCTTTAAATTTTGCCTATGTTTCAAAAATACAGATTTCCAAATGATGCCGGTAAGAGGCATTCTGGAAGATTAAATGTACATTTTACAATACAGAGGTAATTCTGCTGTAGCAGCTCCTTCATTTTCTGTATCAAATACTTTGAATTGAAAGCAGAGCAATAAATGCAACATTTGATGTCCCATCCTCTTTGCATGTACAAACTACATCCATTGGGTTTTGCTTATGGCTCCGAGTGTTGCAGCTGTTCTAGTAAGAAGTAGGTCTCCAATGATTAAAAGCGTTTTTAAATCCATCCTTATTTAGAGATCCATAATGAACCTCATTAATGCCAGTGATGAACTTCTGGCTATTTCTATCAGTAGTATTCAGGGAACAGATCTTTTTGTAATCAAAGCCCATGTTCATAAATTCTAATTTCTACATTATCCACACAGAAAGGTCTCCTTTAAGATTGCAAATGCCTTTTTCTTTTGCTTTTGTTAAAAGCCAAGCTCCTCTCTTAGGTTTGTAGAATTAATGCTGTCATTGCTGTGGATTGGATTGTCTGTTAGGATAGACAGGAATCCTGTCATGTGTCAGGTTTCTTGTTTAGTAGCACAATTTTCTAAAACTTGTAGGCATATTATGAAATGGTCAGTAACTGAAATACAAGATGTGTAAAAACACTTATTATTTTGGTGGAGAAGAAGTTCAGGAAACGTTTCAGAAAGCTAGAAGTACAAGATGGGTGATTTTGAAATCGATAAGTAGTCACTGAGCAGGAGAGAAGCTGCCATTTATAAGTAGCATAAGAATAGTGTTATTCAGATAGCACTACACAGCTGTTGAAAAATTCTGAAGAAACTTTGAACTATTCAGCAAGGAAATATGGCAAAGATAAGAGAAGATCTGGGCAATATAGTCAGGATTATGATCTTTCTTAAGTTAACTATTTAAATTTTATTTAGATTTATGGTACGTGTGGGAAAAAAATCAGACTTGTCTGTCCTCTTATAATTGTGTTTATATGCCACAAAGTCCACATTACATTACCATAAAGATGTATTTACTCAATATAACAAGAAAGAATACTGGAGTTTTATTTGTCTTTGCCGGCAATGAATGTGAAATTTTGGAAAGTACTTTTAACTTCAAGTATTGTACATTTGGATTGAAAAATCAGTAATTCTATTCATCTGCTGCACTATGGCCTTTATTATAAATATTGGCTGTTTCAAAATAACTTGATTTCTAATGGAAAAAGTTACCCTTAAGGTATTGTTTTGAAATTTCTTGAAGAAATGCTATGACATGTCTCACAGCAGGCATCTCCAGGGAGTTCTATTCTTATTTGGCCTTACAGTGGTACCTCTGTTAGGGGACATAAGGAAAGAAGCAAGTACTGAGTTGTAAAATGACAGGCTTTGGCTCCAGCTTTCACATACTTAGAAACAGGGATGAAGTAGTCAGATACTTAGTTTGCAGTGTATGGAGAATTTACTGCTGCCAGCTTGCTGCAGCTGGGCTGCAGAAACTTCATCAATCAAGTGAAAGACTTAAGCAATTCAAAGTCATTATTCAATCTCTTGCTGAGTTACTGAGCCACAGTCTCTTCAACAATCACTTCTGTTTTCTCAGAAGATGTGTTGCTGAAGATCTAGTGAAAAATGCAGAGAGTTACAGATGTGTGATGAAAAGTTATTCCACTTTGGAATTGTTGTTGGGAGAACTCAAGTATCTTAGAAGAACAGCAGCAAAACAGTATGTGATTATTTTGTATAACTGCACGATTGAGTCATATAAGAAAAGAGAGACTGATGTTGTTTGCAGTGTTTAGTATGTATATATTCCTGCAGTACACAACTTGATAGGCTCGAAAGATGGGATGTTTCCATTGTGGAACACACTGAAAATGGATTAGAAGACCTATATTTCGGGACATTTTATTACAGGCCCATAAATCTCAACCCAAAGAAGTTCTCTAAAATGCTTTATTCAGGTGATCACACTTTGGTAAGATTGCAGTTAACATCTAGAAGCATCGTTTCTATCATCAGTATGTTGCCAGAACTAGCTTTAGTGTTGTGGTCAGATACTCCCAATTTTTCTTCAGTCACTTCTGTATTGCAGCATCTGGGTAGGATAACTCTATGCAAGAATTTCCAAGCTGTAGGATATGCTGCATTACTTGTCTGCAAGCCATTTCAAGTAATTAGTGGACCACTCTTGGACTTCCATAATATGGTAGATAATAGTATGACATCTGTGTGACAGCAGCTGTAAGGTGGTGCCTGACAGTATCACTCTTTTTGATGTTTTTCTCCAAGATGACTTCTGAAGATTTTTGAAATTCTTAGGCTTTTCAGTCAAAATTTAGCTCTGTGACTTTATTTAGCTGGTGGGTTTTGAGAGTTTTGCATACGTGACGTAGGTAAGTAGGCATTTATTTCAGTATACTTTAGGGTCCAAACCTTAATGTTTTTGGTCAATTTTTAAAATAAAAGATCAATACTCAGCTGAGAATGGTAACTAGATGCCAGCAGATGGTGGAGCTGTAATAATTTACATGAGTGTTCAGATTATTTGTATAAACATAAACTTGATTTAAACCAGCTGATTAAAAAGAGATGGCTGAAATAGCCGTGATTGAACAAGTATCAGCCTATATCTTATAGATTTCTAACCTCTGAAATAAGTTGTTTTTCTTTTTGTATATTATTGTAATGTCTTAAATTCAGTGTAATGTGCACAAATAGTGTGTTGTAGGGTTCTCGTACATGCTGCATACTTTCTTAATACATTGGACTAAGTGTTAAAGTGTACTGAAATGGAGGGGTTTTTGCATACTTTGTATGTATGGGTCATGTTTCCTGTCTGACCTCCACAGTAGTTTTGAAGTTACAACTTCAATAATTCACAAAGTTTCATTGACAAAGTAATCTATCTCAAATTGAAAGTAGTCTATTGAGTTTTTTTCTTATTTAACTTTATTTTTTTTTCTCTTAAGTTCAACTTTTAGTAAGTAGTTAAATTTTTTACATGGTCAGACTTGTCAAATCACAATATATAGCAGACTTGTGTAAGACAGCTAGTAATAGAAAAAGTATTGTGAAATACAGTGAAGTGGTCTTTGAGTAGAGAACAAATGTCTACTGTAAGGTTATTTATGCAATGAGTTTTTCTATAGCTGATTGTACAGCACTTTCTTTGGCTCATCAATTCATGAGTATGTTTTTTTTTCAAAATGTGCTGTGTCATGTTCAATGCTTTATTTTAGGGATTGCATTTACAGTTATGAGAGGGCTCTTTCTTTCCTTCCCAAAGCTACTTTATATACAACAAAGTGGTTTTGCTTAGTACATGAAGTGGAAGGCTGGCATAGCTGGCACTGGTGAACAGTGTGCCAAGGAGACACAAAAGTTAAACAAGTCTGAGGTTTGAATGTTGTGTGGAGTGGTGTCCTGGGATGGCTTTGGATAAATTGTAGGATTTTAAGTTGATTTTCTTTTTCCTTAAGCAGGATTTCCATGATCATGAAAGGATACCTAACAGAAAATGCTACCTAGTGATTTGTAAAACCTACATATTGTGAGAGACTTTCTGAGCAAAGATAATGCTTTATATTGCAAGCAATTTTTTGCCCATTCAGCAAACTAAATAAAAAATATAACTGTTTTTATGGAGTTAGCTGTTATTTCTTTCTAGTTTAGAATGAAAATCTTCTGCATTTAGCAGTACAAAACTACACTTCTTTAGCATTGCCTGCCTGTTGCAGGTGGCAGGGAATATACTGCTATTAAAATATACACTCTATAATTACTACTATATTAGCTTATTTTATGGTAGCAACCAGGATACTCAAATGAAAGTCACATCTTGTTGGGAAACACTGTTTCTCAAACTATGTGGAACAATTGTTTCTGGATGGATAATTGTAATGGCAAAATATAATTTATTTTTATTCCAATATTCTGGTTAGGAAGTCTTGACAACATGTGACATTACAAAAGAGAGGAGTAGCAATACAATTAGGAGTTTTGGCTTTCATTAGTTATCTTTAGCAATTATCCCTAATCTGGTAGATCTTGGAGTATTGAGACTTTAAAGAAGATTCACGTTAAATATTTTTCTCTCTACAAGTTTAATGGAAGCAGATGTTCATTCATAATGATAAGAATTGATTTCATATAATGTGACTGGTTTTCAGAGCTTTTCAGATCACTCTGAGCTGTGCTGAGGATCTTTGGTTTTAGTAGTTCTTAAGAAGTACTGTCAAGACATTCTGCTTTATTACCAGTAGCTGTTTTGCACCTGCACAACTACCAGTTAAGTTCTCTGTATGATTTCAGAGCAGCTGACAGTCATTAAAGGACAAATATTAAGTATCAG